TGTTGTACATAGGGTCGCTATGAGTCGCAAGCGACTCAACGGCAAATAACAACAACAACAACAACATATCCCTTTTAAACAATTCTCTCCCTCTTCTGTTTCAATACAGTATACATAATTTATCCCATCTTTCTCAGTCTTCCCCAACCCCGACATCAGTCCCGTTTTACAACAGTGGCACTATGCACTATATGTCCTTTTGTGACTGAGATATTTCACTCAGCATAATGTCCTCCAAAGTGACCCATTTTGTATAATATTTCATGAGTTCCTTGTTTTTCAATGCAGCATAGTATTCCATTGTGTGAATATACCACAGCTTCTCTATCCATTGGTTGTTGATGGGCACTTAGGTTGTTTCCAAGTCTTTGCTATTGTGAACAAAGCCATGATTAACGGGTGTGTATGATTAGCCTAAAATTTTAGTTGAATTTCTTATTAAGATCTTTCAAACTTGAACCTCTTGATCTCTGGGATCTTTCTGCTTTATAGCTCCTAATTGGTCACCTTTATTATTTGAATCACAGTAAGTTCTTGCCTTTATAAATTCCACAGAGTTGTTTTATTCCAGACTTCCAAACTTCTTTCAAAATATTTAGGTTAAGGAAGTGAATTTCTTGTAATTTTAGCTTCCTTCTCACTCCAATCCCAGGATGTTTGGTAATGTTGGTGGAAATGTCAGGCCTAGAGAGTGGAGATGGTTCTGCTCTCTAGAGAGTACAGATGAAGGGTTGTACTAAATCGTCTATAAGGCAAGGTAGAGAAGCCCCCTGGTCGAATTATCTGGTCAAAGGCCGTAGTACAATCTTTAGAAATTCTGCTGTGAAAAAGAATACCTTACTAATTATTAATCTTGATATACTTAATCCGAGTATATGAAGTAATAATTTCTCATACATATCGAAAAGCTGGACAATGAAAAATGAAGATCAAAGAAGAATTGATACCTTTTATTTATGACCTTGACAAAAACAGTGAATATACTACTAAAAGAACAAACAAAGTTAGATTTCAAGGGGTGCAGCCACAGTGCTCATTAAGAGAGAGAATGATGGGACTTCATCTCCACCAGTCATGTACTTTAAATCTTTTTTCAAGAGAGATTAATTCCTGGGGGAGGACATCATTCTTGGTAGAGTGTCAGTGAAAAAGAAGACCCTTGCTGTGATGGATCCATCGACTGTCTTCAACATCAGAATCAAACATAGCAAAACTTGTGAGAACTGAGCAGGGTTTCCTGTTGTTGCACATAAGATGCAGCATCCAGCAACAAGCTGAGTATGGAATCCCCTCATCCATTCTTGCTATATCTGTGGCATTTTCTCCTCCTAAAGTTGTATTAAAGTCTTAACTTACTAAATATTTTAGTATAATTATTATTCCATGGCACTTCTTGTCGCATGGAATTTGATATATATTAGAATTGTTATTAAGAATGAGCATTAATACTACTCCAAAAATGCCATCTAGCAATTAATTCTAATAAGAATTTGGAAAAAAATTTAAAACCCAGCAACTATTTTGTGTTCATAACTGAGAGAAGAAGAAGTAAATTAAAGCACAAATACTTTATTTCAAACATATATTTTAATGATGGCTTCCTTATTTTATTTTTTGTTTATTTTGGATGCCAATAAAATACTTCAAGTCTACTTTAACTTTTATACAGAGCTTCCTGGTTTTGCTTCTTTCTAACATATGTCTATTCATTTATACTGGGTGTATTTTCAGAATTATCCTGTTTGTGCATTGTTGAGAACACTGATAACATACTGGTCCTTCAGGCCAAGATCTTCCAAATGGAATATTTTAAGAATGTTTAGTGTTGAGATTACAATGTTATATAACATATAAATGATCCTATCACATTATAAGCTTATAACTGTAACTAAATTTATAAATTTTATATAAACCTCATCATACATTTGTATAGATTTATGATTCAGTAACAATAATTGAAAAGCATATACTATAGTCCAATAACAAGCTCTTATGAATAGCATCTGTTGCATGGATAATAAGTATTTACTAAAATCTTTCTTGTAAGGAATTAGTTTTTAAGATAATTTGGCCCTAAAATGTGAAACTTTTAATTTGATTATATGAAACTATATTTCATTATTTTTAGAAATATTACAGTACTTCCCAAGTTACAAATAAAAGAAAGGACAATATACTCTTCATATAACTGTCCTTGTCAGTTTTCATTTTCTAACAGCAAGTGAAGGAGTACAAATTTTGCTAAGTCAGACGTTTTTACTTTACAGTACTGTTCTTTGTAAAATGCATTAAAAACAAAGCCTTAAATATGGAATGACATTTTTGTTACTGAGAAAGGAATGTTCGAGCCTGAGATTTATACAAAATCATTTGTATGTAAAAAGGAAATTTCCATAACCCTTCTCTCAATACTGATGTATCAGTAATTTGGCAAAATTCTGGTGAAATTTTTTGTCATGAAATCTGTGAAGTTGTCTCATTATATACTCAATTTACAACTTTAAAATTTGGGAATAAATTTTTGTACTTATGTATGTGCATAATACCATGTCAGTTTTGGAGTTCATTTACTTCACATGATTTTTTTTTTACATTAAATTGACTCTAGTGATTATTACTTTCTAAAGTTCCCAAGCTGAACACTCATTCTGCTTAGAACACAACGGAATGTTGCAGGTTGTACATCCCAGTACTTCACTGGGTTGTTGAATAAACTTATTGCACTATATAAAGATTTCTTCATCTTTGGCATAGTTGGACAGAAGTCATTCAATCCCACTTTTGTTATTGAATTAGAATGAAGGAAGATTATCTGTGGTAATAGGAAGAAAACAATAGATTATTAACATCTAGTACATGTGAAAGGAAGATACTCTGAATTGTCTGTTCATTTCACCTTCTTTGAAAGTATTTTTTACTTAAAATATATGTACTTTCATAATAACCTACTTAAGCTCATAGGTTTTTAATGAAGGTATTCTACGTATGAGATATAGCATGGAAATATGCAAGGATCAAAGCTCACAAGTTTGGTGTCTCTTCTCTTTCTCTTTCTTTATCTGTACATGTTACTAGTTCATTGATTCCTGTTCATGGCTACCCCATGTTTGCAGAGGAGAGCTGCTCCATGGGGTCCTCAAGGCTGGGACCTTTTGTAAGTTTACCAGCTCTATTTTCTAATGTATCTCAGAGTGGGGTTCAGCCGACTAATAGTTTCAACACCCATGATAGCAAGCAGTCATGAAATTAAAAGACATGCTGTGTTGGAAAAAATCTGCTGTAAAGATCTCTCCAAAGTTCTTGAAGAACAAGGAAGTTATTAAAATCTAGAATATGCCTGATTCAAGCCATGATATTTTTCACTTGCTTCCTATGCATCTGAAAGTGACTAAAGATGTTGAATCAATGCCGTTGAATTGTATTGTTGACAGAGTGTACTGAATATCCCATGGATTGCCAAAAAATGTGTCTTGGGAAGAAATGCAACCAATGTGCTCCATAAAGGCAAGGATACTAATAATTCATTTCACCTACTTCAATCTCATTGTCAGGAAAATGATATCTTGGGGAAAAAAGTCATCATACTGAGAACGGTCAGAGAAAGTGAAGAACAAAAGAGAGGAAGATACTCAGTAAGATGGATTGCCATCAGCAACCATGAAAATGGGTTTGAGAAAGTGTGAAACACAATGTATGTGAATTATGCAAATTAAAAATGAAAAAGAAAAGAAATAGGCTTGAGCCTATCAGAGGTAGTTAGAGTGGGACAGAATAGGCAAGGTTCAAACATGTAGTTCTTAGGGTCATTGTGAGTTTTAGTTGACTTGATGACACTTAACGGCAACAATGGTCAAGTACTTTACTATTTGCACAAGCAGAGTGTATGTGTGGGGTATGTGTATAACTCTGGTGGCACAATCCGTAGGAAGTTATGCTTGTACCTCTCTGGTGGTTCAGATCCACCAGCAGCTCAGTAAGAGAAAGGTAAGTGATTTCTGCCATATAGTGTCCAGCCTCTGAAAACCTACTGAGAGGTGAAATAGGAGTTAATTCCCACTTGAAAGTAATGAGTTGTGTTTTGTATGTACACACTATATGTTCATATGTATTTTAAGTGTGTGATACACACACACACTTCTCTCTCTCTCTCTCTCTGGTGGCTTATTGATGAGGAGTTGCACTGGCAACCCAAAAACATGCAGTACAAATCCACCAGCTGCTCTGCAGGAAAAAAAATGAACACTCTCCTCCTAAGCAGTTTTATAGCTTCTGAAAATCCATTGGAAGGTCACCTTTGAGTAGGTTCTGACTGGAGATATTTCTATCTATCTATCTATCTATCTGTCATCTATCTATCTATCATCTATCTAATGAACCAAAAGATTGATATGACTACCTGAGTTTTTCAGGTGATGCTCTACTTTTTCCTCCTAGAATATTTCCTAAAGCCCATACATCAGTCTGTTGAAAATACTTCTTAATTGATCTTTATTTAATATACTAGCATATTTTATAAAGTCTATGGGTGGGAAAGTACTAAAATTTATGAAACACAAGTAGAGTGTCTTACCTGGAGATATTTCAACTCTTGTAAGCCTGAAGGAATTTTTTTAAGCTTATTGTTTTCCAAATGTATTTCTCTAACACGTGGAATATTGGCAAGACTTCCATTTTCTATATCTACGATTTTGTTATTTCCTAAGCCCAGCCTAAGAAGGATATAAAATGTATTAAGTCTTATGCAGATTGGTGGAAAATACTGCAGCACAGTTAGCAAAAAAAATTTGTCCAATTTGTAAATATTTTCAAAGAAAGGTACTGCATGGTTTTATTTCAGTATGTAACTCTCTTGAGACTCCTCCTATCAGAAAACATTTTACCTAAAATTTAAATAAAAAGGAAATTTGAAAATTATCCCTTTACTTTATATACTTTTAATCTCCCTCCCATTAGTATGCGCAGCAATAATAGTTATGTTTTCCTTTTTCTTTCACATTGTGCAGTAGCAGCAGTTATTAAGAGGGTCAATGAAAGAGAGAATGACCCTCAACATGAGGGATTGACAGGATGGTCCAGAGTAGGGCAAGGTTCATATCTATTGTTCAGAGGGTTGCTATGAGTTGTAATCAATGTGATGACACCTAAGAACAACAGCTAAGTCCCTAATATTCCTCAAAAAGTTTGGTTAACAAGTCGACAGGCACTACTACTCTTAAGATTTTGAGTACTTTTACCTTTGCAGTTCTTTGTAGCGTTTAAAATCCTCCAGCTCCACATTTGAAATTTTATTATCATCTAAATGAAGCTCCAGTAAAGTTGATGGTAGGTCTAATAATAAGGGGCAGGGGGTGAGAACAAAAAGCAGGACATTAAACCAAGTAAAATCAAACCCAATTATTGTTGTCTTTTGTTTTTCATATTTGTAATTTATAAATTTTGGTTCCATTTCCAGCTTAAATAAATATAATTATAATTTTGAACAACAAATACAGGATTAATTGGGCTTCTAATGGAACCACTGAAGCTATACTTCCCTGCAGACAAGATTATTTATGCAATAGCAGAATATATCTTTATGCAATATCAGAATATGTCTTCTTAGTAATTTCTGTGGAGGAGACTCACAGCTGACCAGAAGCGTGTAAATCTGATCACTGGAGGAGATTGCCCATCTTTCTCCCAAGGAGCTGCTGTGAATTCAGATCAACACCCTTTGTGTTGACATCACAACTACTTATGACTAGGCCACCAGAATTCTGTGTGTTTCTTGTATCCAATCTTTTATCCATTACATTATGTCCTGTGTTACAGTGGATATATATCTGGGTCTTTTCCTTGAACAAACCCCAAGCACCACATTTCCACAATCCTGCAAACGTGACCTTGACCTTTAGAGATAGTAATCATTGTTCTTTATAAAAAAGCCCAGGGCCATTGTCCTTTTGTCCTCAAAGTTGAATTTCCCCTCTGAGTAGAATTAATACAAAGCAGAAAAATTATTCTTTTAAACTTAGAGTGTTCTAATTTCTTATTAGAGTAAGTTCTGATTCACTTACTCACTTGATCATTGGCTCATACTCAATGCTTTACTCACACTCATAATGATGTCAGTTTCGAGACTAAGGTATGCCTGATCCAGGCCATAGTTTTCACAATTACTTGCTATGCATCAGAGGACTGGACAGTGACTAAGGATGACAGAAAAAGAATTGATGCCTGTGAGTTGTGGTGCTAGAGAAGAATACTGAACATACTATGGACCGCCAAGAAAACAAAGAGGTCTGTCTTGGAGAGGGGGAAACTAAGTTTCTCCTAGGAAGCTAGCATTTTGAAGTTCCATCTCACATACTTTGGGCACATAGCCTAGAGAGACTGGTCCTTGGAGAAGGTCATCATGCTTGGAAGGGTGAAATGACAGCGTAGAAGAGGGAGACCCTGGATGAGATAGATTGATACAGTGATTGGGGCAGTGGAGGTTGGTGTGTCAGAATTAGTGAGACTGGCTCAGGACGGAAGGGTTCAGAGCTGCTGTACATAGGGTTACCTATGGGTCGCACATAACAACTTATAGCTCACCCTCCAGCAGGTTTTCTGACTCTGTAAATCCTACGAGAGTAGATTGCCCATGTTTCTCCTTTGGAGCAGCTGTCAGAGAGGCACAGCTTTGAGTTAGCCACCCAAACTACCTGTGGACTGCCAGCAGTGCTCACTTTAATTCTGATTTGTTAAATTTCATCAGATTTTTTTAATGACCTGTGCCCTCTTTAGTATATAAGACAAAATTTTGTCCTCAGCCACCTTATATATAAGTTGAACAATCTATCATACAAGTAATAATCTCTAGGAAAAATAGATCATAGTTTGCTAACCTGTTCTTGGAGATGCTTGAGACATTCATGGAAGAGAGAAATCTTTGCCCCTTTTTGAGAAGTGAGAAGGACTTCTTAAATGCGGGTGTGGAAGGAAGACTCATCAATAATCTTTGTTATGTGGGTTACACAACTGTGATTGTTGAAAATGAGGAGGACTTCAATCCCTTGCTTCAGAAGGTTAAATACTGTAGCCTTTAACTTGGATTGCATCCCAGTATCAAGAAAACAAAAATCCTTGCCACTGACCAATAGGCAATGTCATGATGGATAGGGAAAGTATTAGAGACTGTCAATGACTTCATCTTCCTTGGATCTACAATCAGTACGCTTGGCACCAGCAGTCAGGAGATCAGGAAACATATTGCACTAGGAAGGTCTATAGTTAAAGACCTCTTCAAATTACTGAGGAGTAATGATGTCAGTTTGAAGTCTAAAGAACGTCTGATTCAGGCCAAAGTATTTGCTGTCATTTCCTGTTCGTCTGACAGTGGGACATCAACCAAGGATGGCCTAAAAATGCTTTTGAACTGTGATGTTGGAGAAGAGTAGTGAATATCTCCTGGACTGCAATAACAAGATATGTCTTGGAAAAGTTGCAGCCAGGGTGCTACTTGGAGGAAAGGATGATGAAGCTTCTCACATATTGTGGACATGTTGTTAGGACAGGTTATTCCTTCAAAAGGGGCATAATGCTTGGAAAAGTGGAGGGGCAGCAAAGAAGATGAAGACCTTCAACCAGGTAGGTTGACCTGGTGACTGCAGCAGTGGGTATGAGTGTCTTTGATTATGAGGATGGCATGGGATAGACCACTGTTCAGATCCCTTGTTCATAGGATAGCTATGAGTCATACTCCACTCCACAGCACCTAACAACAACAACAGCTGGATTTGATGGGGACTTTTATCCCACCTAATATTTAAGAAGGATTGATAAATAGAAACTTTAGCCTGTATGAGATAAATGAGCAAAGATGTTGTGGGGTTGTTGCTTTTTTTGTTTGTTTGGTTGGTTTTTTAAACAATCCCATTTTTAAATCCTAGTCATTACAGAACTCAACTGAAATTTATTAACATTCCAATTTTACATTTCTTATTAACAAACGAAAATATGGAACATATCATGAATTTGCATATGATCCTTGCATAAGGGCCATGATAATCTTCTCTTATTGTTCCAATTTTAGTATATATGTTCTTTTTTGTAGAAGCTCAGTGGCTATTGACAAGCTTTAAAATGTTTTTGTACATGGCTGTGCCATTGAATTGTGGTATTGGCAAAGAATATCCTGTAGATTGCCAAAGCAACAAAAAAACTGTACAGTTTTAAATGTACTTTGAAACTTGAAGAAAATGACAATCGAGAGTTTTGCAGTATAAAAAAGATTACTAATGGGAACCTCCTCTTCCTTCAGACTGTCTTCTGCCTCTTTCCTTGTCTTTTGGTCTGTATTTGTTTCCCTGTTGTCTTCCCCCCAACCCCCGAATTTCCTTTCCAAATGTGTTTGTGTTCTTCTAAATATGTTGTTTGTTATTGAACAAACTGTTGAGTCACTTGTGACTCATAGTGACATGTACAACAGTTCTGAACTCTGCTCTATCCTGAGCCAAACTTACTGTCACTGACATACCTATGCCCATTATCCCAGTCACTGAGTAAATCCATTACATCCAGGATCTTCCTCTCCTGTGCTGTCCCTTCACTCTTCCAAACATGATGCCCCTCTCCAAGGACTGGTCCCTCCTGGCAGCATGCCTAAAGTATATCAAACGGAGCATCAGAATCCTTGCCTCCCAAGGAGCAGCCTGATTTCACCCTCACCCAGATCAACCTGTTTGCTCTCCTAGCAATCCATGGCATATTCAAAATTCTTCTCCAACATAACAGCTCAATGGTATCAATTCTTTTTCTATCATCCTTGTCATTTTCCAGCTTTCTGGTACATAGCAAGTAATTATGAAGACTGGCCTGGATCAGGTGCACCTTAGTATTAAGACTGACATTGTTGCTCTTCAATACTATGAAAAGTTCCCTGACAACAGACTTTCCCAGTGCAATTAATCTTTTGATTTCCTGGTTGCTGGTACCAAGATTGTTCATTGTGGAGCCAAGCAAATGGAAGCTGTTAGCTGTTAACAATTTCAGTCTCTTTACTATCTTTCATGATGCTGCCAAGCAACCCAGTAATGAGAATTTTGTTTTCTTCATGTTGAGTTTCAATCCATATTGAAAACTGCCATCCTTGATCTTCTGCAGCAAGCGTTTCAGGTCTTTCTTAGTTTCAGCAAGGAGGGTTGTGTCATCTGCATAATACAGATTGTTGATGAGTCTTCCTCCAATCCTGATGCCACATTCCTCTTCATACAGCCCAGCCTACCAGATCATCTGTTCCGCATATAGATTTAGAAGGTATGGAGTTAGGATGCATCCCTGGTATATATTCTCCCTGATTTTGAACCATGCAGTATTTTCTTTCTCTGTTATGATGACTGTCTCTTGGTCCGAGTATAGGTTTTGCATAAGCACATAAAGTGTTTTAAGATTCCCAATTTTATTCTAAATAGAGAAAAATTAGTAAAGCAGTTTCTGTTTCATACAAAAACAACCATCTTCTTTAAAGCTAAATTGTACAGTGTTTTAAATTTTTTTTTAAATTTTATATTGGTTTGTTTACAAAGTTTGTATAAATTGTGTTTCACACTATTCTTCATTCACATTGTGTTTCTTAAAATCATTCCCATTCATGTCTTATAACATTAATCACCATTGGACTATGCCCACCATTACCTTGTCTTTTCAGGTCCCCATCAGATCTCCGGATCTTCCCATTTCCTCTATCTCCTCCCTCCACCCTCTAAATTGTGCAACTCTGTGATTTAGACCCTACCCATCCTCACTGGTTTGCTCCCACCCCTTCCTTCTCCCCTTGGATTCTCATACATGTTTTATAGTTATTCTTCTGTTTTTACAATAATGATCTTAAGCAGTATTTGTCATTATGAGACTGAGTTCATTCACTCAGCATAATGCTCTCCAGTCTCTCCCAAGTTATGTAGTATTTTTTGAAATCATCACCCCTAGTCTTCCATTTTATGAATGTGCCATGATTTCTCAATCAATTCTATTGTGATTGGATATTTAGGCTGTTTCCATGTCCTTGTGATGGTGAATAACACTGCTGTGAACATCGGCATACAAATCTCTGTGTCTCAGTTCTAATTTCCTTGGGGTATATTCTTTGTAGTGAAATAATTGGGTCCTATGGAGTGCGTATGTTCAGCTTTTTGAGGAAATGCCAAATTGCCTTCCAGAGTGATGGTTCCATTTTATAATCTCAACAACAGTATATGAAATTTCCTACTTGTTCCATATTCTCTCCAACATTTATTGCTAGCTGCAATACTAAACTGTCATTGTGGTTTTGATTTGCTCATCTCTTATTGCTAGAGATTTGGAGCATTTCTTCATGTCTTTTGGTCATCTGAATATCTTATTCTGTGACAATTCTTTCCATGTTTTTTGCCCATTTTGTAACTGAGTTATCAGTCTTTGTCATGTAGAGGCCCTGCAGGATTCTGTAAATTTTTAAAACGTGACTCTTGTCTGAGATGGTATTGCCAAATGGTATTGCCAAAGTTTTTAACTGGTTGGTAGGTTTTATTTTCACCCTTTTGGAAAAAAAAATGTGCACAGTTATTTAATCTTTTTTTAAAAATTTTTTAATTCTTTTATTATATTTTTGTGTGTGTACCATCAAATCGGATCTGACTGGTACAGGAGGAGATTGCCCCTCCTTCTCTAGCAGAGTATCTGGTGGATTTGAACCGTGTACCTCTAGGATTGCAGAGCAACTTCTTGCCCCTAGGCCACAAGAGCTCCCTACAGTTATTTAATCTTTAGGCAGTCCTGTTCATCAATTTTATCCTCTCCAGGTTGTGCATTTCTGGCTGTATATGTCAGCCATTTATACTGTAGATTTTACTGTCTAAGCTTGATTCAATTTTGTCTCTGATGAACATTATGGTTTTGGGCTTTACTCCCAGGTCTGTAATCCTCCTTGAGTTAAAATTAACTCAATCTGATGTGAGATGTGGATCCTGTTTCATGTTTCTGCAGGTAGCAGTTAAGCAATGTTTTTCTTTGTTTTATTTTTTCCTTTTAAATTTTAATTATATCGTTCTAACTTAATATATTTCATCCTAGACAATCGTCTTTCACTGATCAAATATTTTTTTCTCCTAATGATCAATATCTGATCACTAATTACAGCTCTCCTGTTCTTTTAAATTAGCATGATTAGTTAGTATTTTGAATGAGCTTAGTAAGAGATTAATAGTTTTGGTGAAGTTGCTGCTATTGCTGGTAGACATTTAAGTGACAAAGTTATTTGAAATGAAGTGTTATTAATCACAGGATTTATTTCAACTCTTGGTAGTCATGAAAACTGATAGTTTAAATCATATTCTATGTTAAATAAATCAAGACATACAAACCTTTAGGAATGGAGGTTAGTTTTGCTTCTGCAATTCTAACATGGAACACTTCCACGCCTTCAAATGCGCCTGGTTCTATCCCCTTATTATCAAGAGGATTTGCACTCATTTCTGTGTGGAAATGGTATAGTTTAGTATACACGAAACTAACAATGCAAAAATACACATCTGAAGAAAATTCTGATTCTTACACACTTTATAATTTAGGGTCACTATCATTATTTTTATATCAACTTTCTTCCCTTTTTCTCAGCCTCATAAAAAACAACCCAAACAAAGTAGACTAAAAACCTTATTGTTGTATAAGCTGAAACAGAGAACAGAGTTACTGTTTTACATTGAAGTGCTATATCAATAACTTATTAGCACTTGTCTCCAACCATGAATTTATTAAAAATTTCATCATTGTAATGCTGCATCAAAACCTCACTGCCATTCAGTCAGTTAGACTCCTAGCAGCCCTGTACTCAGTTTCTTAGGGTGCACATGACCCCTAGCAGCCGTCTGTCCAGTTTTTTAGGGTACATGTGACCCCTGGCACCACTCTGCCAGGTTCCTTAGGGTGCGCGTGACCCCTAGCAGCCCTCTGCCCAGTTTCTTAGGGTGCATATTATTGCAGCTAGAGTACACAGACATCTTTATTCCCAGGAAGCTCATGCATTTAAAGATGGAGGAGCTGCACAGTATTTAAGTTAGCATTGTGACTCGGTAAGGACTACATCACCAGAGTTCCCCAGAATTGGAGAAAAGAATTCTCACCCTTGATTGATTGATTTAATTGATTTGGTACCTAAAGGAAACCTCATGGAATAGTTCTACTCTGTCACATAGGATCATTATGCGACAGAAATTGACTCAGAAGTACATAATAAACTTAAAAACAGATTCAGTCAATGAAAAATTATGATTTGATTAACAAAAATATAACTGAGTAAATTCTATAAATGAGGCTATCTAATAAATTCCTTACATTTGCTTGAAGGCTATAAATAAACAGATGAATATGAGTATCACTTGGGAGTTTTTAATAGATAATTTCAAGAGAAATGGTGTTGTTATATAGTAAGTAATATTAGTGAAATGAACTTAGACTTAATATATGGCACAAAAATTATTTCGTTCAGTAGATTTAAAGATATAACAAACAAAAGTTAGTTTTACATTCCAAATAATATCTGAATTAATTTTGTGTGATATATACTTGAGTATAGAAATACTTTAAAATTAGAATAATACTTATTTTTCTCAAGTAATGTTTAATCAGAAAGTGAAAAGCACCCTAGGTTTTCAAAGGAAATTAATAACAATGGCAAACAAAATAGATAGCATTTGTAGAAATTATAATATGTATAATACATACATGTTTTTCTGTAAGTGCTATTCATTTTGTTTGTTGTTGCAATTGATTTTTAAATGGCCACTCTAGGTAAAGATTATTCTATATTAAAAATCACTACTTTTTGAAATTATCAGTCTTGTGATTTTTAAAATAATGATAATTTATATTTGCATAAAACTTAGAATTTTATGTCTCATTTATTTGACAAACTTACCTAGAACATGTAAAGCATTCATTCCTTTGAATGTATTCTTTTGTATTTTCTTAACTTTATTATCATGAATTCTGAGTTCTGCTAAGGACTTGGGAAGATTAAGTGGCATTTCACTTAATTGATTGTGGGACAGATAAAGTCTTCGCAGCTTCTTTGTTGTTAGGAAGGCTTTTGGATGAATCTTTGTTAGCTTGTTGTTATTCAGAATCAAACCCTAGATAATGCATAGAAAGTTAAACAGTGTCAGGAATTGTATTTTATTTGCCTATAGTCTATAGTACATGTCATTAATAGAGAGTCATGGAAATCACTGTAATTTTTGTCATACATATACTTGATCAGTCAATCACATACATAATTTTCCAAGCTAAAATGACATTACTACTGAGTTGGAATAGTGTACAAAGGTTTCCTGGCTTATTTTGTGCCTGTGGTTTACATATAAGCACTTCTTTTTAAATTTAGATTATCTGTAAATAGGTGATAATATTATCTTTTTTAAAAAAT